GTTTGACCGAATATTTGATATACGGCCTCAGGCTGAATATACTATTCGTTGCATCACTAGTTTTAAGATTTGAAATTTTAAAACTTTCTTATACATGTATGATAAGTATATATATTGTTCATTTTAAAATTGTTGGTTTAAATTTCAAATTAAAATCCATTTAAAATTTATTTCATAATCATTAAAGAGCATTTTAAAGAATCAGAATATATTTTTTATAAAATTTAAATATAAATTGAAAATAATTTTAAGTTACAAGTAAGTGTAAAAGTATGATTTTATACATGTGATTATAATTTAAGTAATTCTAGTCAGAGCAGTCTGCATCAATTTTTAATATCTAAACTCAATGAACTTATGACACATTCTTTATTAGGGAGGATCAAATGAGATATATAAAAGATTGAATGAGATTAAAAGAAATAGCATCTTTTAAAATTCTTCAGTCTACAATAGTCAGACTTTATGGCAATAATAAATGGCTCACTATTATTATTACAGTGTTTCTATGCATTGTGAGAAACACTTAAATCTTGAACATTTATTTACTGCTAACAAGAAGGATAATATATGAAACTAAATAAGTAAATAAAAAATTCATATACAGCCTCTATTTATTAAGACCAAAATTTGATTCTTTTCATAGTTCTATGAAAACCTGGTCTTTAAGATAAATATTTTACAGATTTGTTTTGGGCATTTAGCATGTTCAAATGTCACAATTTTTCCTCAAGTAACTTTTTTCATGTTATGTACTGTACAGACCTCATTGACTCCTATTTATTTAAGCTTAACAAAAGTTTATAGGTACTGCTAATTCAAGATATGTTTTACTTAAATCATTTCTTTAATTTTTGGCAAGTTTTCTTCTTTATGTAATTTTTCGTTGTGAAAATCCTCTGAGTTAAAGCATTTTCAGTTATCACAACACTTAATTTAAATAACAAAAGCAATCTATCAGTACAGTTGGTATTCAGTGATGCAAGGTGAAACATTTAAATATTACAAACTTGCAGCTTTCCAAGCTCATTGCTTTACTACTTATGAGTAAACTTCATTTGATCATCCAATAGAATACAGAAAAGAGAATTTCACTCTAAAAAAAATTAATTTAATTAAATTGTTTTTCAAAGAGAGAGAGAATGTTTTACTGTGGATGGTACGGAAAATGCAGTCAGTGACCTGGATATATATTTATTAAACAAACATACTACTACCCTTATGACTTTATATTAACTTTACACTGTTACATTTGTACAAAAACATAATAAATATTTGTGAATATAAAAGAAGATAATAGGAGTAATGGAGTTTAATATACAGTAAGACCCCCCTTAATGTGGGGGATACATTCCTAGATGACAAGCACTAAATGAAACAGCATTAAACATGGTCATTTTAACACACAGTAAATGGAAAGAGGAACACACGACCAAAAATAAGTAGATTTTATTTTAATTTTAAGTTATTTTTATATTAATTTTCATAATAATATATGTTAAATAAAACACAAACATATGTGCACAGAAATGTAAAGTACATTTTTTTGTGATGAAGGTTCTTGCTCTTCTGAAATTCTTGATTTTTTTTTTCAATGAAGTTGTCTAGTGTCATTTGTTGCCTTTTTCTTTCCTTAAGCAAATGTTGGCAGCAGGAGATCACATCCAAAACGTCTCGTCTTGCTTTTGCGCTCTTTCAAAATCTGGATCATTTGCTACAATTTGATCATCGATTTCAATTATCATTACCAAACTTTTACTAAGGAAATCTGTAACAAGCTATTCAGGTTCTTCATTTTCAGAATCACTATTTTCCAGTTCTACATGAGTTCCTTGTTCTGCAGTTGTTGAAGGTCGTTGTTGGTAAGTCTTTCACCAGAAACCTGCAGTAACTCCTCAATATCCTGCTTGTCTACATCTAGTCCTGCTGTATCGATTAGATTGACAATTTAATCAACGATAGTGTCTTCTCATTGAGAATTCTTGAATACTTTCAGCCATACCTTCTTCCATACTTCATTCATGCATTTATCAGTTAATTCTTGCCAAGCGAAGTCGATGTTGCCTATGCATCCATGATAATGATATTTTTTCCAAAATTACATGAAACAAACATAGATTTAAGGAAAGTACAGTGCTATGACAAATTGCTACCTTTCGCTGATTGGTTTGTGTTTGGGAATAACCATATTATTTACAAATCAACGAAATGCTGCATTAATTTGAATCAGCATAAATTTTCAGCTTGTTTTTAGGCTTCGAGCAGACTGCGTTATATTGAATCAGTATTAATCGAGGTAGTGTTAAAAGAGGTCTTACTGTATTTACTTTGATGAATACATATTTAATAACATTACAACTTTTTAACAAGAAGAAAATTGTTGAGAATTAGATTTTAATAATAAAATGTTTATTGAAATTATTTTACAATGTTTATCTAAATTGTTCATCAAATTCAAGAACAACTTATGATTAGTCTTTATACTTCTTTTTTGGTAATATTTATTGGAAAACATTTAAACCAGGGTTTTCCAACCTTTTTCATGTATCCTCACCCCATTTAAGAAAACTTTTTCTGTCAAACATTAACATTACTTATGTAAGGTAGCCGACTCGGTGGAGATAGGGGACTTGAAACCCACTCCACGGCACCTGTGTAAGGTTGCAGTCTCCTAGGTGGAATCTATTAATCCCGCGTCAGGATGAAGCTAATGGAAGGTTGTATGGTGGCTGTGACGGAGGAGGCAAATGATGTTAAGTGTTTCACACAAGAAAACCATTTATTTGATAACATTTATGCTTACATCGACAATCGACGGTCCTTCACTAGGTTCTTCTTGTCGAAGATGCAGAGAGGCGAGAACTTCGTCGTCTGTCTGGCCCCGGAGCGGACGAGATGACGTCGCTGAGCAAGGCGGACGATTGGAAGGAGGAAGCAGCGGAGTCCAAAGTTCTTGGTGACGACACACCACAATATAAATCACGGCCTTTCATGGAATACGGAGGAGAGCTCCTTCCCGACCTTGAATTTCAGATTTTTATAGTTTTTTTCTCCCACTATTTGGACTTCTGATTGGCTCCTCATCTCCTTCCTTGCTTCTCGATTGGTCTCTTTTGTTTTGGGGAAAACCGAGACCGACTCAGTCATGGGAAAGGTCCGATTCCAAGTGTCTGCTTGACGCCATTCTGTCGGTTGTTCTTGGGGAATGTTGACAAAATTGCAAGACTCGCGCTCATAATTTAGCTCCGTTACTCATGATTTCTGTCATCTGGGTACTCGAATGATCATATGCAATGATTTATCTCTCTTAAATCTTTCTCTCTTTTCCGAAAATGTTTCCCTAGATTGATTATGATCGCTTGGGTTCAAAGTTCTACCTGTTTATGATTACTTGTGTCTGACTTATAACTTTTCACTTTGACATTGACAGTTTGTTTAACATGTGTTGGAGTCATCCAGGACTCATTTACATTTTGTGCCATGTTGTTTAAATTATGGGATTTTCCTTTCTCTCTCATATTTAATCTTCGTTATTATTTAAACATAAGAATACAATAAGGTTAGAAAGAGGTAATTATATTACTATTCTCCGGTGTTGTAGTAAAGATGAGATGAGCATAAGAATACCGTGATTTACATGATTTCGGCTCTCAGTTCGGTCCTGACACTTACTATATATTATATATAATTATATATTCAACAACTGCTCCTTTTGTTCCAAGTTTTAAATATCTTGGGACATTTGTCAAGATGGGAGGAGGATTGAACTTGGAGGTGCAGCATAGAATTCAATGTGGATGGATGAACTGAGGAAGCTGAGCGGTGTATTATTCTACAAGAAAGTTAGCTGAAATCTGAAAGGAAAATTGTATAAATCAGTTGTTAGACCTTCAATGTTATATGGAACTGAGACATGGGCAATAACAAGAGCCCAAGAAAGAAAAATGGAGGTGGCAGAGATGAGAATGTTGAGATGGATGTGTAGAGTGTCAAGGAAGGATAGAATAAGGAATGATTTTATTAGAGGTTTTATTAAGGTGGGCCCCTTGAGCAAAAAGATGCAAGAATGTAGGTTGAGGTGGTTTGGCCACGTAGAGCAAAGAAGTGACAATTATGTTGGAAAAAAGATCAGAAAACTGGTAGTAAAAGGAAAGAGGAAAAGAGGAAGACCAAAGATGTATTGGAAAGAAGGTGGAAGAAGACTTGAACCAAAGAGAACTTAAGAGAGAAGAAGCCCTTGATAGGGAGAAATGGAAAAAACATATTAGAGAAGGAAATGCTGACCCCATATAAACATGGGAAAAGGCGAAGAAGAAGATTGTCTTTGAGACATTGCCAGATTTAATGTATAAAAATAAAACAAAAGAGTATTTGTATTTACTTAAATTATAATGAGTACTTGAAACTGAAACATTTTGACCAGTTTTTCAATATTTAGAGAATGTTAGATGTTCAACTCAATAAAACTAATTACAGTTGGCAATTTGCACACATTGACAAACCTACTAATTTGAACCAAAATAACATTTACAAAATAATTTGTAATGCAAATGTGAATACTCTGGATAACTAATCCTCAGATTTATTCTTATAGAATTCACTTTTGTTTACTGGGCACATGGATTTATTGTAAATTATTTATTAGTACATTGGTACCTCGGTATACATCTGCTTTAGAATACGTCCTGTATGGACGAATCAAATTTTGCTCGGTATACGACTTTTGTTCAGTATACGACTTAATTATACGCTCCATCTATGAACAAGTTGCACTATCGGTGTATTAGACCAGACTAGAAGTTCTCAGTGCCATGGTTTATTACTTTGTTAAATTTCTTCTGATTTTAATTTGTAAGTAAAATGTTATTATTTTTATTAATCATGAATTGCAAAAAGGCATCAGAGAAAAAAAAAATGACTAGAATCACAATGGAACTGAAAAAAGAGATTGTTGAGAAATATAAAGGTTCGAGATTTAACTGTTGCATACTGTATTTCGAGAACGACGATATCGACAATCGTGAAAAATAAAGACATTATTAAATTTGCTAACATTGCGAAAAGAGTTAAATCAATTTCTAAACAGAGATTGAAGACATTAGATCATGTTGAGAAATTGGTTTTGCTTTGGATAATTGAAAAACAGTGTTCTGGCAACAGTGTATCAGAAGCAATTATTTGCGTGAAAGCTAAAAAGATACATGCTGATCTCATGAAAAATCAAGTAGTAACTAGCCAGGAAACCGAGGTGTATAAAGCCAGCGATTTTTTTTACATGAGAACGGATTAATCATTTTTACATTACTTCTTATGGGAAAGGTTGGTTTGGTATACGTCCTATTTGGTATAAGTCCAAACACCAGGAACAGATTAAGGTCGTATACTGAGGTTCCACTGTATTTGGACCATAGAAAAAGTCGGTCTGTGTGTTATTCATGTAGGCATGGATCCATACAGTATATAAATTTACAGGTTACATTTCATACAGTATAGAAATTACTTTCAACAATGAAGATAATTAAATTGTAATTATAACGATACAATAGGTAATCTACTTAAATTATAAATAGTTTTTTAAATATTAATTAACTTAAATCTGTGAAAAACAAAATTTGAAATATTTCAGCATATTTATTAAAAAATTTTTTTAGATCATTTTTGCAAGTTATATATACAGATGATGAATCTACTAATACTAAATCTGAAGAAACAGATCCATCTTTAATTCCCTCCACTCAAATAAAGGAAGAAGTTAATGAAAACAATGAAACTGTAGAGCCTAAGAACACTGAATGTGAACTTCCTGTACCATTAGATCAGTTGAAACAAGAAGTTGATTTTGATGAAAGTAGGACTGAAGAAATAGACCAGTTTTTCCCAATTTCCTGTAATGATATTAAAAAAGAGTTAGACATTGAAATTGAAGAAAACTATAATATTAATTATGGTGATGATGATGACAATAATAATAATGATGGTAACAATAACAGTAATTCTAATGAACCAGTTAAGAAGAAAAATGAAAATGTATATTATGATGTTTTAAAAGAAAGAGAACGTAGTTTGAAACTCATTATGGACAAATTTCCTTATGCTGATATAATGGTATGTTTAAATGTTTCAATTTAAATATTTCATTTTATTCAAATTTTTGTCAGTTTAATATTTTAAGTGTATTTGATTTATTATTCCAAAAATATTTCTGAATTTGTTTTGGATGTATTAAAATGAAAAATATTTGAATTTTAAAGCTTGAAAATGAATATTTTTTTCTCTTTTTATTTATGATCTGATTGTGTGAAACATTTCTTATTGTATAACATTTAAATAGTTATTATTTAAATACTATTTTTCTAGGAAATGCAAGATATACTTCTGTTTTCTGAATGGAATGTTCAACAAGCAATTGCTTTTGTGCAAGAACATCGCTCTCCATTCACATATGGAAGGAATTCATATAATTCAGATGATATGAAATATAAAAGACGTAGAGTAAATAATTATGTCAATATTGGATTAGATGAAGATTCACATGAAGTGACTAGTGATGGATGGTTGGCAAGAGCAAACAAAGAAACATTAAAAACATACAGCAAAAACATATCTGAAAGAAAAGTTGTTCATTCTAACACTAAGCCTATAGTTTTTTATGGCAGCAAAGAGAGAGCAAGAATCAAAAGACAAGTTGAAAATTTTATTTTAAAACAAAATAACAAGCCAAGCTTAAATGAATATCATTCACAAGACAATAGTAAAACAGATAATTCATTGCAAGAAATTCACATCAAAGTAGAAAAATGAATTTTTTCAGTTTTTGAACCGTATTCACTTTAAATACAGTCACATTACAATTTTGAATTTTACAAGAAAGAATTTTATGGAAAGCTAAGTTAGTTAATAAAAAGTTTATATGTCAACTGTTTAATAACAATTCTAAAAAATAAAGATGATAAAAATGTTTTATAAGAATGATCATAATTATATGATGTTGAATTTGTAATAACTTATATTAATATAAAATTTATAAGTATTATTAATTGTTGACAATTGGTTAAATTAGTATGAATATGTATCAGAAATTAAAAATTGTATTTTATAAAGAGAGATGATGTAATTAAGAATTATTGTAAATTTTCATTGTAGGTGTAACATATATATATATATATAGCACAAAAATTATGTATTACACTCATATTACAGTAAACTATATATTTGTGAATATAATTTCTACATTCAATAACAATTTAGAATTATACTGTATTGGTCTGAACATTAGTCAATCTTTTTTCTCAGTTTTTAAAGGAGCAAAAAATTGCTCTTGCTGTATTTGAGTCTTGATTTATATTAAGATCCCAATAAAGTTTTTCAATTTCAATAACTTTCTGTAGTACACATTTNTATGCATGATTTTTGTATGAAATGTTACATTAAAATTTGAATTGAATATTCTCTGTATATTTTATCATCATAAAATTTTTCTTGCATTTAATTAATACTGTTAAATATAATACCAAACACCAATTATGTAGTAATGAGAAAGAATAAAAAAATATTTAATAATGAATTTTTGTTGTTTGTTTAATTTGACTTAAGCACCTTTAAACACAAATTTTTGGATGCTATTTATATTATGTAAATATGAACTAACACAGTTTCTTTAATTAATTTGATTTAAATTCAACTGTGGTGCGTACCAAAAAATGGAAGTACTGTAGTATCTTTTCCACATGCACATTGAAATCTAATTTAAATAATAATGTCATCAATGATTTGTGTTTTGATGTCAAATGACACGTGGTGATCTCAGTACCAATAACTTCTGGATCTGTTGTTGATTGATCAAGTTGTTGATTTTCTTTAACCTTGGAAATATAGGGAGTTGACCATCTGTCTCTCTCTAATCTGTGGTAATAGCCAATGTTTTGTCGAGGTTGATTTAGACTGCATTCAGAAATAGATGGTTGTTTTTGCAATGCATTTTAAACCATGGTGCAGTGAGCCAACATCTAAATGCTGTTCAGTTGTTAATCGACATTTAATGTAAACATTGTCTCTGCAATCAGCTGAATATACAACTCAAGAATGTACAAATTTAAAATTTGTACATTTTGATCAAAACTTTGCTATTTTCTATTTAAGTGCAATGAGAAATCCAAAAATTTAATTAAAAAATGGGGACCCATAGCTTCATTTTTGAGATACAGTGTGGTCAAAGTGACAAAAATGACAATGTTTATGCTTCCTAATACAATTGAGTGTACCTAATGGAATTTAGGAGGGAAAAAAATAAAAAAAAAATAGCATAATGTGCTCTATGCCTAATGGAAAATGGGTACCAATAATGAACAAAGCAATTGACACTGAGCAAATGTAATTTTTGCCATCTTGTGTGATCAGCAATCATTTTCTTCTCCTGTTTTCACATGTATCCATACACAAATGTTAATCCTTACATATTCAGTCACATATCAGCACTTGAATTAGATGATGTGAAAGATAATTTGTATTAATTTGTATTGTTTGTATAATTTGTTTTATTTCATTTTTCAACTGTAATTAATATTTATTAGAAAAGTAAAATTAAAAAGACATTGTATATTGCCGTTTTCAGTGAAAATTATATTAGATGTTTACTTCTCAAATATTGAATACTAATTGTACAAAATAAGAAAAGAAAATGGTTTTTATTTATAAATATTATTTTAACTAAATATTTAATAAGTCTTTTAGAAACGAATAATTTTTGTATTTCTTTTTGCAATCATTTTAAATATAATTTTTTAATGTTGTAGGGTAAAATTCGAATACAAATTATGAATGATTCTACTTCAAACAGTTCTTCAGGTTCTCTCAGTAAGTTGCGTCAATTTCGATTGCAAAAGAAAATGCCTCCAGTTTCTTGCTGTAAGGTAAATATTCCTAGCTCTCATATAATAGCAGAGAGTAGAAGCCAATATCAGTCTCTTTCTGCAGGAAAAGATAAAGGTAATAACAATAGTGATGATAATTTAATTATTTATTTTACAAAGCAGTTTTCTGCCTACATTGTAATAAAATTTAAATTATGCAGGTGTGTATCTTGTACCAGATTTTATTGGAAGTAATACAGAAGAGCCTACAGATGAAAATATAGAAGAAGAAGAAAAACAATTTACAGCAGGTCCAGAGTAAGAAAAATATTTTAGTTTCTTAAACTGGTGTATAGAATACATAAAACAGTTTTACCTTTTTTATCAGAAATTTAAAAAAATATACAAATNGCTATAGTTAGTATTTTGTTAAGTGAAATAGTTCCACATAGACTTTGTAAACAGAATAAATAGCTCTGATACTATTAGTAAATTAAACATTTTAAATCAAATCACATTCTTATTTATTAATTGCTCAGTGTAAGTAATTAATTTGACACTGAATTTAAATGTAAAGAATAAAGATTAACATATTTCAAAAAATGTTTAATTTTATAATTCACTTAAAACAATTGTAGCCCATGTATATATACAAGTTAAGTGTTACTTATGCATATCATTAATTAAGAGAGATGATATTTTATATTTTTAATCTTTATTCTCAAGAGTAATTTATGTTTTTTCAAAGAATATTATAAGTCTGTTACTATTTAACTATGTGTGATGGTATGGATTAAATAATTGTAATTGAATAAATAAATCATCAATGAGATTTCTTTCATTTCCTCTGAAGAAAGATTAGCTTATGGAATCTATATGTTGTCAATATTGTAAGAGTTTTGTAAATAGTAGTACTATATGCAAGTTTTCATGTATTGAAAGTATCATAAGATTGAATGAATTTAACAATACATTTCATAGTTTATAGTTGTAATAAATTTTCTATGTGATTTATTGCAATATGTCTAATCAGTGTACAGCATATAAACATTATAAAGTACAAAATTCATCATAACAATCATATTTAAATAATTTAAAATTTTCATAATTATATGAATTTAATGCTATAGTATACTGTATAAATAAAAGAAGTCTATGTAAACTTTTATTTAAATGTGTTGTTTTATTTTGAGATAAACAATAATGACTATTTATCACAAATAATAATAAAATATGTAAATTATTATGTATATATCATAAGAAATTACATTCCTTATAATACTATACAATCTTGATCACAATTTAAACAATTATGCAAATATCAAATCAGACAAATTAATTCAATTGTCTCTATGTCCTTGTTTTATGTCCCTATGTCCTATGTCTTGTCTGTGTTATATTATTGTCTACTTAGGACTTAGCATATTATTAGTACTTAGAATATTGGTGATTTTGTTTCTGCAAAAACAGGAAGTCTTATTCAGAAAGACAATCTTTATTTTTAAGATCTAATAATATGCTAAATTCTAAGTAGACAGTAATATAACAAAAGTAGCAGACAAGTATCCATTTATTAATGTGTAAACACATCAGATCTGTTCAGAAAGTACACACACTTTTTATATTATGCACTAACTGATAATTGAATCTGAATGCAGCTTGTGCAACTCTAACAGAAAGTTTTATGTACTATCTGTCAAAAGCAGTTTGTTCTATCTTCATTTGTTGTTGTTTTACATTCATCTGTGTAAACATATGTTGATTGTGTTTTGTGATTTTTTTTTTAGCAAGTGTGAATGAAGAGCTGGGATAGACTAGGTCTGATAAAAATTTCATGAAAAGCATCATCACTTGGGATGTGACCTGGGTTGATGGGTATGAGGTAAAAACAAATGCCAGTTGTCAGAATGGGTGGGAAAATCTTCACTGCAATTCAAAAAGGCACAAGTTCAGTCAAGTGTGAAGATCTCGCTCATTGTTTTGTTCTATTCTGAAGGTGAAGAAATATCTTCATGAAGCAGTGAGTAAGAAAGACCCAACTACTTGGAGAGAACAGCATTGTGACATTGCACCTGTCTAAACATCACTGCTGATAATAGAATTTTTGGCCAAGAACTCAATGCCAATTGTTCCCCAATCTTCACATTCACCAGACTAAGTCCCAGAAGACTTACTTTTGTTTCCCAAATTAAAATCTGCTCTCAAAAGTCACCATTTTGAATCCATTGTTGCTTTAAGGAAGATTTGCTAGTGGAGCTGCACATCATTCCAAAATAAGCATTTCAGGAAGCATTCTTTTCATGGCAGAAACACTGGATTTGGTGCATAGACTCAGGAGGGGACTACTTTGAAGGCAACAAAACTGACTAGCTGCTAGGTAAATACAAACAACTTCTATTTGCAAACTTTACAAACTTTCTGGACAGATCTTGCAGAACTGTTAATTTTTCAAAAATTATTAAATGTATATATAATGGGCAAAGTAACTAATAGGTCATTGTGAATAATGATTAAAATGGCTGCACAGTCTGATAAATATTGAATAATTTATTAACTTGGCCAGACATTATGCATAAAGCTACATTCTCTTTGGCCAAGTTGATTTTCAAAAAAAAAAAAATTACTTTTTCATTGAAACAATTCACAAAAATAAATCTTAAAGTATTTTGAGAATAAGTTCTATTATATGCATAATATAGGTATATTAATTACATAAAACTCTTTTATAATCAACAGACACTATATAATAATTAGAATTATTATTAAAAAAGTTTATTTTAGCAATTACTTTGCACACAAAATAATTTTGAAAATTTCTTAAACTGAAATATTTTATTATTATTAACTGTATTAATTAATGTTGATAATTTTGTTAATAATAATAACAAAATTATATTATTCAAACATAAAAATCAACTTAAAGGAAACTTTTGGAATGTGATTTTTGTATAAGGTGTACAAAATGATATCATTTTGTACTACCAAAAATCACATTCTGTCAAATAGTTGTCAGCTGATCACTCAACAAGATATCATTATCATCACTTTGCCTGATCAGATGATAACAGTATTCATATTGACCTGTCAATGTGATAAATTATGATAAAGAACATAAAATTTATTACAATATCTGATTTTGTTTGTCGTTATTCATAGTGTACAGGCAATATAAATAATGCCCATATTAATCACTTGGCCCATAACATTATTTTTTAAAGATTTACTATTCAATATATAAATAAGCAATTACAGTAGAGCATCGATTATCCGACTCAATTGGGGACTCAGGTTGGTCGGATAACCGAAAAAAATGAAAAAATACATTATTAGTATATCCCATGTAATTAGTATATTAGTATATCGCTATTAACCAACTTCGCATTGAATTTTCATCGAGGTTAAGCCTAACAAATTTAAAAAAAAAAAAATAATCGTCGCTATCGTATCGTTAAAAATTATTTTAAAATTATTTTATTGCTCACGAAACAAACAACCACTCATAATTAGAAAATTAAGTCTCGTTTAAATACTGGCCGCCCTTTAATGGTCGAGCCTGTCCCAAGCTAAAACACGCAAAAATTTAACAAAAATAATATTAAAGTAGCCAAGACATAGCCAAATATTGTAGTGCCACATCACTAGCGGACATTTGAAGTTTGCCAACTAGAACGGTCGATTAACCGTCACATCGGTTAACCGACTGTTCTAGTTATAGATCGGATAATCGATGCTCTACTGTATTTAATTAATTTTCTTTCTGTTGAGATTTAAATATCGATCAAAAAACTAATTGTACTGTAAAATAAACAGCACAGCCTTCTCACTGAAATTGTAGTTTTTTTTTTTTATTGTAGTGTAGGACCTACAAACACTTGTCTTTTTCTTTTACCCACGACCCCCCCGTGTATGGCTTTGCGACCCACCTGGGAGTCGCGACCCACAGGTTGAAAAACACTGCTTTAATGTATCCAAAAACAAATAGGAAAGTACAAAGAATGTTAAATAATTACAAAATTATTTACTCCAATGTATTTTATCGCAAAAATGATTTAATAATAATAATAATAAATGCAGAAAATGTCACATCATGCCAGAAACTATACAACACATCACTTCTGGTTGCAAGCTCTTGGCAAGACACAATCAAGTAGCAAATATAATACATCAAGAGCTTGCAAAGAAAAACAAATTGGCAGACATCCACGAACCATACTACAAGTATATTCCACAGACAGTATTGGAAAATAACACGCACAAAATGTATTACGACAGAGCCATAATCACAGATAAAACAATTTACCACAACAGACCAGACATCACACTCATTGACGAACACAATAAAATCACATACATTATAGACATAGCCATTCCAAACACTCACAATGTACAAAACACATGCACTGAAAAAATTAGCAAGTATACAAAACTCGCCCAGGAAATAAGGCATCTGTGGAGGATGGAAAGGGTGCTTATTGTACCTGTCGTTCTCTCCTGTACAGGTGTGATACCACACACACTACATAAAAGCCTGGGAACATTACAATTGAGTAGAAATACATACATCACACTACAGAAGGCCACTATATTGAATACATGCCATATTGTTAGGAAATTCCTTAATACTGACACTGACACACACATTTAATTTTAGTTTTGTTTAGGTTGCTATGCCTTGACTCTGGTCCGGCATAGTACACAGCCACCGGTGTGAACCGAGTATAACCCACTAAACCCAACACAATAATAATAATAATAATAATAATAAAGAAATATACAAAGAAGAAGCACCAATGGGGACCGTATTTCACGCATCGCCATCTTGAATTAACTTATGTCTGTCAAGACCAAATTTTAAAAAACGTGAACATCACACAGAACAATATGTACCCCTAAGTCTCTGGAACGGAATACATGCACCAATGAACCTACAACTACACGATTTATATTTTAGAAATAATTAAATTCACTTACCATTCAAAACTTTCGAATTTCGAAAAACACAAATATGCTAATTCACTACGGACAACCGTTTAACTGAAGTGAAACGGGTTTTCCCCTTGCTATGGATGTCTGCCTAGTGCAGTTCAGCCACAATCCCCTACAGTTCGCCTTTATTATCAGTTTGAAATGGAAGGGTTCCATAATACCACCTTCTCCTCTACTGTTTCTAGCTTATTTTGTGATTGAGTTGCAATTTGAAAAAATTATAGACCTATAAACCCCACTGTTGTCTGATGTCGGTTCTTTATTAATCTCAAGAACAAAGTTAGATAGATGAAAGTCGAGACCAGATATGGAAACGTTAGGGGCATGAAATCCCGATTAACTATCGGGTTGTTGTTAAATTCAGCGCTGCGAACAGCGCTTCTAAGCGATGACGCTGAGAGCGTTGTTAAACTCGTTTTCTTGAAGCGCTGCGCGCAGCGAACGTCTCAGCGATTTCACTGGTTCGAGGTTAAATCTGCAGCGATCGAACCAGGTGCTTTTTGCGCTTAAACAAAATGGCAGCCACCACGATGGAATTCGTCGAATTTGTTTACGAGAACTTAAAAATTGAACTAAAAGTTGATTCTTCAATTAAACGTCGTTTAGAAAATGGTAAGTTATTGTTTTTCATAACGCTTTATTAATTACACGAAATAAACTCGAAATTCACACAAAAAATTATATATTAAAGTTTGTGTAAAAGACTGTACAGGCATACTTTTTACATAATTGGTTTGATAAATTACATTATACAAATAATAATCACTTTCTACGCAATATTAGTATCTTAAAAGTAATTCCAACGTGATATTATTAAGAATTGCTGTAAACTAGGCTATATCATAAGCAAATTGCTATGAATGGTATAAATAAAGGCTTACATATCCTTTAATTTATAGGACTTTATACACGTGTATTTTCCAAAAAAGAAAAAAAAATGCATTTTGGATTTATAGTCTCTCATCAGTTGGAACATAATATTCAAATGTATACAATAACCAATTTATCACCCCTTGTGATAAAGGTTACCTTGAACAGTTTCAGTTAAAATTACAATTAAATTGTATAAATTAGTTTTATTATGAATTGGAGGGTATGATAAGCATTTATAGCATTAATAATAGTAAAACTAGTTTAAAGTAATTAAAAAGGACAAGTCATTTGTTTAGTTCCTATCAAACAACAAAAGTTCATGTTCTTTTATGGTTTTCAGATCATGATTTCATTCCTCGGTTTTTTGAAGAACTGATATATGAGAGGGGAATGAGAGAACAGATTGGTTTACCGGAAGATGTTGATATTAATTCAATAAGACTGGCCAGCAAATCACACGAGGAGGGAGAATCAGGTATGTATATGTTTATATACAAGTACATCAGTATATACATGTATATACTAATACACTATAAATAATAGTTATTATTTCATATTGTTGCAGGAGACTTCTCTTGGACTGATTCCTCCACGCTGTTGTTGATAACAACACGATTAAATATGGACGATGAATTCAGAAAACACATAAGAAAAACAAAATTGTAAAAATAAGACATTGTATTGCAAAAATGAATTCCTTTTAAAATTTTTCGAATTAAATAATTCGCTAAACATTCCAACAATTGCACTGAGAGCCGCCATTTTGGAACTGCAGCGCTGCCCCGTGTGCGTTGTTAAAAGACATTCAGCAGCGATCGCAGCGCTCTTGCATCCTAAGCTGCAGCGCTGCTCCGCGGCGCTGAATTTAACAACAACCCGTATATGCGAACTTCCGATGCAAACCGGAAGTAACGTTATTTCAATTCAAAAATTTCTCTTGAAAGGCGTTAGGTGACCAGCGTGACTCGATTGTGAAAGGAAAAGTATGATGTGCAGGGGCAAGCCACTACCAATCTGAGATAGAGATCATATACAGTATTTTAAATTAAAAAATACTTGTATGTTTAAAAATTGCAGTTCCGCATTGTGACGATGTCATAATAAATATTTGCTCGTTAGTTTTAATAAATTGTATTGACAAAATTAGATCGTTAAGTACGTGGTGATTAATTCTGATTCATATGTAATGATCCCTATTACAATAAAAAAAACTTTTAAAATTAAATATACAGTACTTTCAAATATATTAGTATTTTGAATTATTACATCAGGAGAAAATTTATTGTCGATATTAATATTTTATAATAAGTAAGATGATGAAAGGAATCTCAAAATTTGATCTCTGATACTTTAATAAAAATATTCTTTACGTCAATAAATTAAGGGAAAATTACTGATGATTCAAATTTATTTTGTTTTTAGATTATCTAGTAAGTATTATTGATGGTAACGTTTATTATTTCGCATGCTTGAAAATGAATTCTATATCAGTGAATATTCGGATTAAGTACATTTTTAATAAATATTTATTTTGCAAAAATACTTGCTATTTCACGTATCTTTATATAAATATAATACACTAGTTCTAATCCTGATTGACAAAGTTTAAAAATAAAATATTATTATTTGCAATCTATCATCACTTTGCCATATTTTTAACTTCATATTTTTTTAAAGTTCTAACATCTAAACTACTATCGAATACAGATGTAATGTGTTTAATAATGAATTAACCTAACACTAATGAATGCATAATGAATGTAATATATCATTATGACTTGTTGCTATTAATAAGTTAAAAATTTCAATCTCAGTTTGTAATGTACAGTACGCTGACGTATTTTATATCTGATTCATAAATACGTGTATATCTGCTTTTTTTGATAATTAGAAAATAAATATATTGTTTCAATTAATGGTATAAGTAAGATTTTCTTCTGGGGATCTAAAAATACTATCAGAATGAAGAAAAATTAAGCGTACCATAAATAATTTGTTGATCATTAATAAAATTAAATTTTGATTTGTTGTTTAACACGATTTTTTTTAGTTTAAATTTTATTTCTAAAGTCTCTGAAGATCCAATACCCGTATAGTTCGTCACAGGTTTTAATATATTTCAAACTGAAAATTAGTTATAAATGTCAAAGCTGACTCAACCAGTACCTCGATATGCATTCTGGGCATCGATGTCACTTAATTTTGTGCTGAATTGTAAGATGATAATTATCAGGTATTAGATTAATTTTTAAAAATTGGTATGCATCGTAACAACACCCCATTTTCATTATTAAATATGTAAACTAGTTTTAATGTTGCAAAATGCAAATAATTTATATATATATATATAAACCTATTTGAAAATAACACGCACAAAATGTATTACGACAGAGCCATAATCACAGATAAAACAATTTACCACAACAGACCAGACTCCAAAAATATTTCTGAATTTGTTTTGGATGTATTAAAATGAAAAATATTTGAATTTTAAAGCTTGAAAATGAATATTTTTTTCTCTTTTTATTTATGATCTGATTGTGTGAAACATTTCTTATTGTATAACATTTAAATAGTTATTATTTAAATACTATTTTTCTAGGAAATGCAAGATATACTTCTGTTTTCTGAATGGAATGTTCAACAAGCAATTGCTTTTGTGCAAGAACATCGCTCTCCATTCACATATGGAAGGAATTCATATAATTCAGATGATATGAAATATAAAAGACGTAGAGTAAATAATTATGTCAATATTGGATTAGATGAAGATTCACATGAAGTGACTAGTGATGGATGGTTGGCAAGAGCAAACAAAGAAACATTAAAAACATACAGCAAAAACATATCTGAAAGAAAAGTTGTTCATTCTAACACTAAGCCTATAGTTTTTTATGGCAGCAAAGAGAGAGCAAGAATCAAAAGACAAGTTGAAAATTTTATTTTAAAACAAAATAACAAGCCAAGCTTAAATGAATATCATTCACAAGACAATAGTAAAACAGATAATTCATTGCAAGAAATTCACATCAAAGTAGAAAAATGAATTTTTTCAGTTTTTGAACCGTATTCACTTTAAATACAGTCACATTACAATTTTGAATTTTACAAGAAAGAATTTTATGGAAAGCTAAGTTAGTTAATAAAAAGTTTATATGTCAACTGTTTAATAACAATTCTAAAAAATAAAGATGATAAAAATGTTTTATAAGAATGATCATAATTATATGATGTTGAATTTGTAATAACTTATATTAATATAAAATTTATAAGTATTATTAATTGTTGACAATTGGTTAAATTAGTATGAATATGTATCAGAAATTAAAAATTGTATTTTATAAAGAGAGATGATGTAATTAAGAATTATTGTAAATTTTCATTGTAGGTGTAACATATATATATATATATAGCACAAAAATTATGTATTACACTCATATTACAGTAAACTATATATTTGTGAATATAATTTCTACATTCAATAACAATTTAGAATTATACTGTATTGGTCTGAACATTAGTCAATCTTTTTTCTCAGTTTTTAAAGGAGCAAAAAATTGCTCTTGCTGTATTTGAGTCTTGATTTATATTAAGATCCCAATAAAGTTTTTCAATTTCAATAACTTTCTGTAGTACACATTTTACAGAGTTAACTGATACTAAAATTCAGTGTAGATTGTTTAATTTAACTATGTTAACACCAGCCAAATTGTGATTTATTGTTCATAGCTCACAAACTATGCATGGGAATTTAATGCTTAGCACAGTTATAAATAATTGATTAGTCAATTGTTTAAAAACAAGCAACTAAACTAAGCCAATTGTTTTTATTGTATTCAACAGAATCAGTCACTTTGGTATCTTCTACAGAAATTTTATTTTGGTAATTTTATTTATTCTTAGGTGTGTACTAATTTGAAAGATCATCAAAAATTTGAGAAGATTGAGAAAATTTACTGCAAAATTTATTCTATGTAAAACATAATTTCTGTTTTAATTTATGTATTTAATATCATATATTTTAGACATTTATAGAAAGAAAAATGAGAGCAGCATTAAGATAAGATAAAACTGTATGCACTGTACACTTTCCAGAATATTTGTGAAATATGCAAGGAAGTGTACTTCTGGTCTGATGGGTATATTGGGCAACCTATGAACAGAGCCGGCCCTACCATAGGGTGAACAGAACAGCTGCTCCAGGCCCTATGGTATCCTAGGGGGTGCCTCAGTGGTAAAGAAAATTAAAGGGTATAAATTAGGGCAACCAAGGGGAGGCGCCATAATAGGATCTCGCTCCATCCTAAAATGTGCCTTGGGCTGGCACTGCCTATGAACCAGTGCATAGGATATTGTTTTGCTTTTGTTCTATAACTTATTGCTTCATTTTATCAATATCAATAAAAATGAAATTAATAAGTTATAATTTGTCACATGTAGTATAGGTATCCAATGCATATTTCTAAATATATAAAATTGCATGTCCTGACTGACTAACTGATTGATTCATCATTGCCCAGAGCAAACTGCTGAACCTAAAGAGGTGAAATTTGGTACACAGTTAGGGTATGTCATGAAAATGCACACTAAGAAGGGATTTTTCAAAATTCCCCTATGGGGAGATTAAGGTTTAACCTGAAGAACGGCTTCTACTTTACTATTTTAGATGCAATATTTTATTTTTTTAGTAACAACTAACGATTGAGAATCTTAATGAAGTATCGAGGGAGGGCTATTTCTATCAAATTGCAAATTCCGCACAGGTGAAGCCATGGGTAACAGCTAGTTTTCTATAAAGCCAATCCTTTGAGTACAATTTTCTGATTAATTAGACACATGATTTAAATATAATCTGTAAAAATTACTAAGACAGTTATCAAAAAATTCATTATACTGACTGATTCTAATAGAAATTTAAAAAAATAATAAATAGAATTCAAATAGAATTGAATGGAACTAATTTTCATAAGTAGTTGCGTAGATAAAAATAATAAAAATACAACAAATTCTTTTAAAATTTAAAATAAAAAAACAGTAGAATTATGAAAGATTGTTAATGAAGAAAAAAAATTATAAATGTCTAAGAAATGTCGTGTTACCAACTACTTTGATAGAACAGATATGTTTGTGCTGTTCAAGGAGGCTTAAGACCATGATAGCAATGAAATAGGAAACAGGAATGATGACAATGAAAATGATGAAATATTGTTTTAATAGCTTTCCAAATCTTTTTAATGCAAAATAAGATTAGTAATAAAAGATTGACTTATATTCAATCTTAATTTTTTTTTCAAAAAGTAAGGATTCCAAAATTGGGAGTTGACTTATATTTGGGCCAATATGGTATATTTGGATGATGTAGTCAGAAAATGAATATATAAATATTTTAAAATAAAAAATGAATTTATTTAAAATTTAGGTACAGATCTAGATTTTTTAAAACGTATATTAGAAGTACACTTTTGTACACAATTATCTTAATTTTCACATAGAAATTTTTAGTTTTGTTAATTTTAAATATTTATTTTTTAACATATAATGATGAAATGATTTTATTTTTAATCATTTGTAGGCTACATCAAAATATAAAAACATTTCAGTTTATGAAATTTAAAATTCAGCTTCAGAATTTAGCTTAGAATGATGCTAAACATTTATTTTTTAAAGTATTTTCCTTATTATTCAAATTTGACTACATACAGAAGTTAGAACTGATTCTTCTCAGGGATGGTTATCAATTCACAATATAAATTTTTTTTAATCAGATAATGATTTTAATAATAATTACTAAGTTTTATAGTGTCAGTGTTATGAATTTTAGTGTTATGAATTTTACTATTATAAATAAAATTTCATTTGTTTGCAATGTGAATTGCT